AATTGCATCTAGAGTTAATCTTGTATATCGCTCACAATACTTGCGGTCAATTTGCCGAACCGTAGCACAAACAAGACTAAAAGAAAACGGTGTTTCATTGGAGGCTTTTAGCACTAGTAAAGAATAAATTTGAAAGTCTTATTCCAAAATCTATAATAAATGCCTCAGATGACTCGTAAAACACCTATAATAAAGGGCTTTATTTAAAATTTTATGAAATCCAAGTCCTGCAGCTTTTACGAAATATAAATTTTCTAAACAAAAAAATACTCTCAACTGACAATCCAATAAACTAGGGTGAAGTCTTGTGAACCTGAATAAATGATTTTGACAAAAAAAAAAAAAAAAAAAACAAACCAAAAAAAAAAAAAAAAAAAAAAGTTACAGTGCTACGATTGCCTAGTTTAATTTAGGATGAAGCTTTTTACAATAAAAATTTCAATATACCATATGATATATGCATACATAACTCATTAATTATTACTAGCACTGTTTTACAAATATGTCAAATAAAACTTAAGATGCTGGCTGTGCTGGCGGTGCTGGCAATTGTAATTTTTCTCGGCAGTAATCTACAAACTATTAATATAAATTAGAATATATATATATTTGAAAAACTGTATAACAAAAAAACAATGCTAAATTTATTTTAGTAAACATACCTCATCGATAAGAACGGGCCAAGCGCCTTAATAAATTTGGGGTCAATTTAGATATTATAAAATATATTATTGATTAATTTAGATTTCTTACCTTCGGCATCGTAATTTGAAAGCTCGACATTGATTTGTTTGATAAAATCCAGTAGCTAATTACATATTGATAGAAAGAATAAATTTTCGATTTTTTAAAGCAAAATTTTAACCGAAATTTGATCAAAAATTATAGCATACTAAATTCCATGTATCCTTGGAAATCGATTTGCCATGCTTCTCCTAAATCACGAATAATAATAGAGGATTTATTTAATTTCTATAAGTACAAGATATATATTTTTTTCGTGATATTTATTTTTACCTTGACAAACTCTATCCATATTTCAAGATGTGGCCAACGTTCACTCAATAACATCCGCCAGAATTCTATCGCGACGTCAAGACCTAATTTCAAATTTCAAAATAATAAAAAAATTTTTTTTTTTACACTGTATTACAATAAAGAATAAAATTCCAATTATAGACATACTCAAGGACTTTTGGTTTTCGCTTAATCCAAATTTAAATGTAAATTGGTAAATCTCCTTAAATGTGGCTTCATCATTCAACGACGCTCGAAGTCGAGGTATGGCAGCGCGCATTTTCTCAATTGAATCGCATCTAAACATTGTGAAATAATATATATGATACGTATTATTTATTAACAATTTAAAAAAAGATTCCAGACAAAAATTTAACGATATTATGCATCACCACACCTTAATTTTGTCCATCCATTGATAAATCCTTGACGTTTAAACTCACACA